CGGGGGCGGGGACGGGGGGCGGAGCCTTCGGGAGCCACCCCGACCAATCGTCGTCTCTCCTCGGCCCGGCCGGCCCAATAGGTTGGCGGTGAGTGGGGCGGCGTTCAAGGTGAGGTGCGCGGTGCGTTGGGGGCGGAGACTTTGTGCCGTCCCGGCCGGCTCCGGGGCGGGGGCAGCGGGTGGCGTCTAAAGAGAGCGCCGGCTCCCAGCCGAGCCTGGGACGCCTTCCGGCCCAGGCTCTCCCGCCCTTCCCTCGGGGCTCCCGGCTCTATTCCCCCCAACCCCCCAATCCAGCGTTTACCCTGAAGCGTGCAGCCACTTCTGTGAAGAGGCCAGAGTTAAAGTGGGGCGCAATTAGCACCTCAGGGCAAAAGAATCTGTGAAGGGGCTCGTCTGAACCTCTGTTCCTCCTGTTTCTGGATGGGTCTCAGCCCACTCCAGGCCTGCGAACCAACAAACACCAGAGATGAGGGTCCTCCGCTGAGGGCGGAGGCCGAGCTGTGCCCTTCTGAGCAGAGCGTCCTCCCCGCCCTCATCCTAATATAGATCCCACACCTGCTCTCCTTTCCTGCTTCCGGAACCCACGCTGGAACCCCCCACCCCCACCTCTCAGACTGCCTGGCACCGGCCAGACAGACCCTTCCCCGGATCCAGTGCTACTCTCCTGGGTGTGCCCATATCCGCCAGCGCTCACAGCCCCGCTTTACCTTCTGGAGGAAAGGGCCTTTCGCAGCCTCCCAGCCGCAGTAGATGCCTAGACTGGCGCTTCCAGCTTCCATCTCGGTTACTCTCTGTCTGGAGTCCTGGAACGGGTGTGTGACAGCCCTCTCCCCTCAAAAGATAAGATTAAACGAGGAAAGTCTTAAATCATATACTTTATGACCATCATTGGCTCTTTAATCTTTAGCAGACATTTATGGAGTAGCTAGTACTGAGTGATTAAGACCAGGAATCAGATCTGAATTTAAATCTCTGGTCTTGACAAATGAACTTGGGCAAATGGGCTCTGTTGCCTCAGTTTCCTCTACGGTCACCGGGTATAATGATAGCACCTATCTCATTAGATTGTTGTGAGGATTGACAAGTCAGTGCATGTGAAACTTAGCTCAGTGTTGAGTGCCTTGTAAATCTTAACTGTTATGGAGCTTGGTAAGAATATTTGTGCTGGGGTGCAATCATGAAATATGACAATTATACTTTCCCAAGTTCACAATTTGTGGTGTAGACAGACCTGTAGGAAAATAATTACCAAACCATGTGATAAAAACAGAGATATACATAGGAGACAGAGGTGGCTAGGATGAGGGATCAAATGATGTAAAAGAGTTGGTCAGGAAAGGCTTCTTGTAGTGGGAGATGAACCAGGTGAAGGTAAGCCAAGTAGGTACTGGCACTAAACATCCCAAACAGCAAGTTTCAGAAATATGGCTCAGTCTGGATTCTGGCTGGAACATAGGAATGGGTGGGGAAGCAGCAGGAGGTGCATAGGTCAGACCACACAGGACTAAGGGTGTGCTGAGGAGTTTGTGGGCTTTAGAGCTTTAGGCCATGATGAGTCTTCAAGGGGAATCATTTGAACAGACTTGCATTTAAGTAGATCACTCAGGAATGTGGAGTCTGGATACAACCTTAGAAGCAGTAGGTTTTTTATATCAATTGAGGTGTTTGGGCTAAAGGAGAGAGAGAGACCCTGAACACACCTTTAACCAAGGTGGGGAACTATGAGGAGGAGAGGTGAGGATACAGAAGAAAGACAAAGTTCATTTTGAGATATGTTGGAATTAACTATGGGATCAGCTGGTGGAGACTCTCAGAGGTAGTTGAACTTGGGTGCAGAGTGAGGCCTTCAGGTACCTCCACTCCTAAGATGCTGCTCTTTCTCTAAATATACCTAGTATATCCTGCCCTAAGGAATTTACACATACCCTGGAAACCTTCCTCTCTTCTCCGTTTACCTAAATCCCACCTGTGGCCATCCTCAGACCAAACTCCTTTACAACTGGACTGTACTATTCATTCGGCACTTGGCCTGGGATGCTCTGTGGTGCTGACCTCTTTGGGCACATGCCCAGTCTCCACAGTTAGCACCAGTCAATAAACACTAAGGACTGCACTGGTTCAGGCTCTGGGTAAGGCCCTGGGGTTACAGAGAGACATACTTGTCCTACTGGGACTTACAGCCTAGCAAAAGCCTGATGTGGAAAATTGAGTGTGATGGCATCCAGGTTCCTGAAGAAACAAATGGCATGGAGATTTTTTTGTCAGGATCAGGGGAGGCTTTCCTGGAGGAAGTGATCTTTTAAGTGGGGCCCTGAATTAACTTAGGTGGAGAAATAAAGAAGAACATTCTAGGCAGAGGGAACCGTTATGTGTACAGGCCTGGGAACAGAGTGTGGTATGTTTGAGACATGGATGGCTGGTGTGACTGGAATTGGGGCAGAGAGGCCAGCAGGGGCAACAGATCCCCCAGGCCTTTGTAAGCCATACTTACTTATTCAACAAACATTTCTTGAGTACGAAATGTGTGCCAGGTAGTTTTACTGGGACTACTGTAATGAACAAGCAGAAAAGATATCTTCTACTGGGGAGATAGAAAATAAATACATAAACAAGGAGCTGTAGGAAGACGCCTCTCTAGAGAGGGTGGTTAGGGAAGGCCTGTTTGTGAGGTGACATTTGATCTGAGACCTGAAAAATGGGAAAACCAGCTATGTGTAGAGTTGGGGGGATAGCATTTTGTGCAGTGAGAACAAGTGGTAGGCATATTTGAGGAACAAAAGAGATTACTTTGCTGGATAATTGTGACTGGTTAGAAGAGTGGGGTGAAAGAAGGTGGGAGAAGGGAAGCAGGCCCAGACCTTGTAGGGTCATGGTAAGTAAGACATGGTAAATTATTAAGTACAGAAATAATAAATTTGTTTTTAAAAGACAACTTGGTTGCTGTGTGCAGAATGGTCTGTAGAGGGCAAGAGTGCAAGCAGGAAGACCAACTTCAAGAGGTCTTTGCAGAAGTTGAGCAATGTTGTGGCCTTGAGTAGGATAGGGATGGCAGCCGTTGAAGGGTAGACAGGTTTCAGAGAGATACAGGAAGCAGAATGGACAGGTCTAGGCAAAGGAATAAATGTGGAAGTGAAAGGGGGAGAGGAGTCAAAGCTGAAACTGTGGTTTCTAGCTTGAATAACTAGATGGTTGGTGATTATTTTGTGTCTTAAGGTGTGAGATGCCTGCAAGATATCACAGAGGTCTATGCAGGTCTGTGGCTTGGAAGAGTGGCCTTTTGTGATGCTTACCTATGGGTGATAATTGGAGGTTCATTGAGTGACATGAACACCGAGGATCGAATGAGGAGGAGCTGATACCAGCAGAGTAGACTAAGAGATCAAGATAGACAAGTCCCCACTGGATGTAATGATGAACATCTGACCCTAGAGTCATCGCAGGGGAGTGGTGAGTGGGAGGTGAGGAAATAGAAGACCGTG